CATAAAAAAGCATTTTAAAGAGGAGACTCTGTACTTTCGTACGCTTTTGATCCCAATAAGCTACAATTTTTTGTTTATACCGTGCACCGTCGCAAACTCGAACCATTATTTTTCAATTTTGCATGCTCGCGCTTTGTCATCCGCCATTTTCAATAAATTTATTTTGCAACATTGAAATAAATTGATTCTTAAAGTAGAGATTTTTAGCTTCATTTCCATATTTTATAGAACTTTCTATCTTTATTATTTACGAAGTTATCGTCAGTTGAAATTTGATGAATTTTTCCCACATTTTCAGTGTACCGCTTTTTTTTCGGGTGAGTGTATTTATTATATACTATATATTCTTTTTCAAACTTTATCACATCTCTCACATATCCATCATACACATATCATAGATGAAGCTTTTAATGCGTCTATAAAAGGAGGTGGAATTAACTTGCCGCTTTTATGTTGAACTAAATGTTTTTTAGAAAGATTTTTCGCATATTACAATTTCGTATACATTTAACAATCACTTAAAACTGTAAATTATCTAAAAATATATTTATTGGCGAGCAGCAAAAATAATATCAACATAATGTTAACAATATAAAATATTCCGATCATCGTTCTCTAATAGCCACGATACACATATTTTCCAACGAAACATCAGTAGAAATGTAATAAAATAACTCGGCTTGAAATCCAGCACTTTGCAGGAAGATGAGACGACCCCAGTTTAGCAGCGTTTTGGCTTTGCGTCCGATAAATTCGCGTTCGTGATATAATTTCGAAGAAGACTGATAAACATTGCTTTCCTCATGTTGGATTACGGAATTATGTTTCAGTTTAATGTTACTTTTTGAACGAGAACCACAAGTCGCCCAACTGACTATGCTGCACAAAATAGGGAACTCTTCTGCGGTAAAACCACATTGTTGTAGATACTTTCTGCCCACGTAAGACGAATACTCGCACTTGTGATGGCAACAAAAAGCGAGGACTAAACCGCGGATATCGACTTCAGGCTCCCTGTTCATCGACTTTATCAAACAACGTATAGCCAAGTCTGCAAATGTAATATCAGAGGTTGTAGAATATACTAGATAAATATATATACTAAACGTTAATAATATTTTGTAATTCCACTTTAGGGTTTTTGCTTTAAATTCTGCTTTGAATGGATTAATCCATTTTTTAAGGATGTATCGACTATACGATATTAATCGCATTTCTTATTTTATTGAAACATAGATTTAATATCAATTTTATAGAAACAAAAGCGCATTTCTCATAGATTGAAGCAGAATAAATAAAACAAGGAATCTAGGAAATTTTTACAATTTTGCTAATATTTTAAACATCTATGTGGTCCATACATTCTTAATCGATTAATATATTATTCGAATAGCTATAGATTATTTAATCGACAATAATTATGCATGTTTGGTCAGATATGATGTATTTGAGCCGGAAATATCTGAACAAAAGTGCAAGGCATTAATGGCATCGTCGTGTGTATTACCTGTGGCCGTGCCGCAGAGATGTTTTGCTATTCCGACTTTGTACTTAATCGGCTGGATTTCAATGATCTCGTTCAATCGCAGATCGGCAATGTCAGCACGCACTCTTTTTATCATGAGACCACTCTCCTCCTTTTTAAGCTTATTGTCGTTCTTGTGCCGAAGACTGGAACGATCCACTAGCAAAATGCAAGAGTTGGATTTGTTCTTTATTATCTGTCCCAACCAGTATGTTAACTGAGCTGTTTAAAATAGAATTACATTTAGGATATAATCCTGTGTATGATTTATTTCGATTTTACTAAATTATTCAACAGAAAAAGATAAAAATGTTTTTTATTAAAATTATAACTTTTGAGAAAGTCAAAAAGTTAAACTACCAAGATATGAAGGCTTATATTAATGTCTTATACTTCTGATTCGATTTTTTGAATCAAATGTACTTTCTCTCTTTACGCAATTGTTGATTAAAATTTATCAAAGTTATTCAAATACATTGTCAATTGGTTAAAAAGTCTGTTAATAAATCCAAAGTAAAACTCCTAAACTCTAAAAGTGCAAAGCACTATTAATGTCTAACATACCTCTTCCTGCCCCAAATTCAATAAAACAGGTATCGTCTTGCACAAGACCCGCTTGTTCCAAATGTCCAAGTAGAGATGAATTTTGAAGTAAATGCTTTCTGGTATTAGCACCGCAAGACTTGTCGGTTAATTTATGTTCCAGTACATCATGCTGCAATATTACTTGAGGAAACTCTGGCAGTTTTTCTGAATAAGATGCAATATACATACATGTATAGAAGAATATAAAGATAAAACATTTTGTCTTTTACAATTAAAATGTTAGATTATATTAAATGTTTAAAAGTCAAATTTCTTTACATCTTTTGAAAGTTTTACTATATAGTTTTTAACATCAAATTGTTTTAAATGCAATTTTTTTAAATACATTCTCTATCTGGACACTATTAAACTTTATAATTACACGTAATACTGAAACATGCCTTTTTATATATACCAGCATAAGCACAGGTCAACAAAAAGAGCAGTAGATTTACTATGTCTCTTTCTCCAGTAGGCATATTAAAAGCCTCCATTTTTATGATAATTTTAGATATGCATAAATGCGTATGCAGACATTTAAAATCACAACCTGGGAGTCATGGCATATTACAGTATATTTAGAGTTCAGTACTGATTATATAGTAGCTTATGAATAAAATATTTTTCTTTTATCGACAAAATAATGATAATCTTTTTTCATAAAATTTTTATCTCTGATACTTGGCAACTATTTTGTTATTTTGACAATTTTCAACTTTCCTTATAGGTATCAAAGTTTCTGTATAAATATAAAGAATAAAAAAAATTTAACTTTTTATTTTGAATCACTGATCAGGGACTGATTTAGCGACACCTATATCTAATTTTTTAAAAATGCCAAATTAGTAGCTTCAACATTTCTTGATTCTTCTATATAAAATTGCGTACAAAAATAGTTAATATAATATAAGTTAGTATTATTATATTTTAATAAAATCATTTTTAATAAAACAAAAATGCTTAAATTTTTTTCAATTTTGAAAAAAAATTTATAAGATTGATCTTACAGTTTATAGCGACTTAAATTCCCTTACAACTACTTTTTAAAACTATCACATTTAAATAATTTTACCATAGGCAGAATTGATCTTCTTTATTACTGTTTCTATCACAGCTTCATTGAGCTGTGATAACGGCACATGCATCGGCTTCACTGTAGTCTCCTGATCCAAGTTTGTTCCCTTGACTATAAATGCAGGTTGTGCGTCTAATCTCCGTTTAATGTTGCACACGTCTAAATGTTTCATCAGCTTTGATTGATAACATGTGCTAAAGAGAGATTGATGTCAAATTAAATGCGGAAAACTCTACTATGTCGTTAATTCACATAAATATAGTTATAGTTATACTCTTGATTAATGAATACTTACTGTGTAGGATCCAACGGACACTTCACTCTCCTGTCATCGATGTCAAAGGAGCCTTCAGTTTCCGGCTGATGTTCACCGCAATATTGTTTGCCTATTCGCACTGTCATACGGCAAAAACGTTTTTTTCGTTCGATATAATACATACAGCGGTTGCCGTCCGTCATGTTATTTACTCATAAAAAATTGGATGTCCAATTGTTAGATTCTTTGGTTATATCTCTGTGATTTTCTTTAACTATTTGATATATACTTATTGTAAAAATATATAATAAAAACATTGAGATAAACACTAATCCAACACCAGGTAAATTCAATAAATGAAGATATGCACTTTTTCTCTACCAGATGACGCGTCAGTTTACACTAAAGCCTGCATCATACGCAAAGCTCGCACAAAAAATGTAAAAAGACTTGAAATTTATTCGAAACTATGGGAGATATGGGCCATTCTACGATGAGTCGCATATGTCCCGCGTCGCCAGTCGCGAAGGATGACAACTGACAACTACTATTTGAAAAGTGCTATTTCTGGTTATTTCTGATAAGACGGGACATTTGGTTCTTATACCTCACTTTTAGTTCGTTACTTTCGGGGTACACAGTATGGTGGCGCTTTAGATGTTCCTTATTTTTTTTTTTAGAATGATTGTTGAAAGATTGTTGAAATGGTGACATGTCGTTCAAGGTTATGTGTCTAGGTTACCTTTAAATTAATCTATGTGGCAAATTTCATCATGGCATTATCAAGAATTAGCTTTTCAGACAATTTGCTGAACACCTTCACTCGCATCTCGCGCGCAGGTACAAAATGATCCAGCAAATATATATTATTATTTTATTTCGTTTTATTTTATCTTTAGAAATACACTCGCGCATTGCTGAAACTATTTCTAATGTGTTACGACGTTTTTTAGTAAGATAGATAAAGAAGATAAGTATAAGTAACCGAGAGCTGTTGTGACACAAAGGTAGTTAAAAACGTCTAAATAATTCTTTTCAACTGTCGGATGTAAACTAAGCTGTAACTAGTAACATTTACTTTCACAACTTTTCGCATGTTTTTTGTGCAGGTTAATAACGACAATTGAGACCACTTTCAATATTAACAATTTGAAATTTAAAATAATGTACAATAAACTTATTATAAAATAGTTAATATTTTAAGCTATTTTATTTTTATTTCTATTTTTCTGTTGTAAAATAAAATAAATATCTCATCTATATCTCCTAATTTTAAAAATATCTTAACATTTCTGAGTTGTTTACTGAATGTATCATTGTGAATATTTTTCATTGATTTGATGAATTTGTTTAATAAAAAAGTTTTCCAAAAAGTTCTGCTAGAAACAATGTGGTAATCTAATTGCAGATTACACAGTGTAATGTATAATAATAATAATAATAATAATAATAATAATAATAATATTATAATTTCCTTTAAATTGCAGCGTGCATGGAAATGCAGCGTGCAAGATCAACAACACTTCATCGAAAATTGCAGGCTCTACATGTGACAAGTATGCGTTGTTATCCGGATCCGCCGACGATCGCTTTACCAAACAACGTTTGCGACATCTTTGCCAATGAGACTGGTCGCTTCACATCGGAACGCGCGCGCGACATAGCTCTGTACGCCGAGAATGGCGGTATTGCGGCAGATTGCTCCGGTTTTCCAAAGATTCACGACAATGGTCACATGGATTCATATGACTGTTTTGGCGCTGTTAGTCTGAATGGCACAATGCAGAGCAACGTACCGAAGCCCTTTTCGTCGCATGGCAAATCAACGCATCTTAACATGCCCGGTGGACAGTGGTCACGCGATGGCAAATACATTGCCGAGGACATGCAACGTTCCCATTACCGCAAGCTGTCGTGTAAGAGCGACCTTTAAATGGATTCTTGAGGGTAGAGGTGCTTTCTTCGCTTTATTGCGATTCACATCTCTTACAATCCTACTCCTCTTTGAATCCTACGAAAATAACGCCATAACACTTTGAACTAAAAAATTCAAATATCGAAAGATTAGAAAATTTCAAGTCAGTGATAAATATATTAACTTATCCTACAAATACTGATACTTTATGTAATTCATTAGGATTCAAAGAGTAGCGCTCTTAAGCTGATAATATATTTGCACAACATAATCTAATATTACAAAAACTTTTTTTTATTTTATTTTACTGGAGAAAGTCAACAATATTTAGATAAATTAATTTTTTCCATGAAAATTATTTTTTATAACGAAACGTTTTTATTCCTTACCAGTCAGAGGATTAAGATAGATAAAAATAAGCTTTCGCATATAATGTCAGACTGAATTCATATTCAGGCAATAATATGTCGCTTAGATACCGCAACTAATGCCTTCATAACCAGCCCGCTTTTACGAGCGACATATCAGCCAATCCATACAATCAGAATAGGCTACTCGACTGATACGTTTGAGGCGCCTAAGGACACCAACAAGGACCGAACAGCAATGCCGACCATGATTTCGAAGCGGGAAAGATTTCGTCTAATGTTGAGGGATTATGGAGGCACCCTTCTTGCCTTTCATATTACTATCTCGCTGATAAGTCTTGGTGGTTGTTACATGGTGGTTATTAGGTCAGTTGGTTGTTTCACAAAATCATTCAGAAATCGCGTGTACTGTCTTCTAATTAAAATATTTCCCATCATATATTTATAACGGAAAATTACATAATGTATACAACATCAAAAAGATTTAATGAAAATTTTGAAAAATACTTAATCTCAATAACGAATATACTATATTATCCTACGAAGATTTAACGTTTAATATTGTATTAATATTGAAAGAATAGATGTTCGATCAAATTTGTTAAGTTCATTAAAAATAATAAATTTATTAAATATTATTTAAAAAATAATTACTTAAAAATTTCTATAAAGTACACGACTTCTGCAGCACTCTGTATATATCCAGCTTTTCATAATTTATTTTGTTTTTTTTTAACAAATACGACTGTTTGTATTAGCACCTTGTATAACTTTTAATAAGCTTGTTTTTTTTTTATTATGAATAGTCATTACACATATCTTTTTTTCAAAAATTGAAATGTCTATTATCTATTTTAAAGAAATTTGCCATTCTTTTTCAATGATACGAACTCTCAATTTCAGCGGAATCGATGTAATGCCACTCATGCAGACTCTAACAGGTGGAAACGAACAGCTCGACAATTTGATGAAGACATCAACGGATTTCATATTGGCGTACACCGTACATAAATTACTCGCACCCGTACGAATATCGATATCTTTGACCGTAACACCAATACTTGTGAGACATCTGAGAAAGATCGGTCTGCTCAAGATGCCGAAAACGAAAACAACACCACCGTCTTTAGAAAAGTAATGTATTTTTTTGTTCTCTAAAAACTGTCTCGTTATACTATACGCATCGGTAAGAGATAACTCATAACGATAAAACAACTCTGTACAAATGGTAATGTCTATATAAAAAGTCCTATACAGTCCCTAAAAATGGTGATATTTTATAATATTGGATGGAATATAGTCTTTTCTTACAATAGTATCTATTATATGTATAGCACTCTCATCAGTATTTTGTATAAATTTAAATAAGTCTATAATTGCTATCAGACAAGCTTTGTTATTCCATTAGATCTAAATAAGCAAGGCTGTAGTTTTCTCTGCGTATTTTGTAAAGTTTCAACTTGTAATATAATTACGCACGCGTGTTACACAAGGTGCAGGAATTGATGTTTAATTATGTTTATCATTACAATTTTGTAAAGAAATTATTTATGAATAAACATTGAATTGGCAAGGTCAATTGATTTCACATATATATAATACATATGTACCTTCCGTTTATTATATAACGAATATAGTAGTCATAAAATTTACATATCGTCATGTATATCTCGCATGCATCATATATTCGTATCTTCCGTGTGTGCTACAATATGCAAAATAATCACGCGTATCGCATTCGTGGCACGGAATTTTCATACACAAAAGCTCGGCAGTTTCGATTGGACGAATTTATTTGTTTGCATAAGTGTTGATCATGTGCATATAATACGTTGATATATAATATATGTACAGAATTTTTAAAAAATATATTATAATACATGTAATAGAATTTAAGAAAAGTATATAATTATATACAGTCGGTGTTAATCTAAAATAGCACACCTCTTACAAGTTAATCTTACAAGTTAATCTCGTTGAGATTCCGTCGAGATACGACGTTTGACATTATAGTCCAGACGATAGTAAATTCGTCACGCGAAAAAGAAAGAATTATCGTCGAAAAAGATACTTGACAAATCTATATAGAAATTGATAGAAAAAACCAGCAAGAGCCACAAAAGTTTTTGCTCGCATATTATGAGTCTTTTTACCTAACGCGCAAAGTATCTAAATGCGCCCTGTAAAAATTAAGCGTAATAGATTTCAGTTCTCTATCGATGAAAACAGGATAGAAAGATTTGGCAGTGTAACATGTGCGATTGGTGGAAAATACATATAATTGATTGATTTTTAAATTTTAATTTTTATAACGAATTTGATTGAACGTATGCGCAAATTTGAATTTTTTCCGTAGATTATCCTGAATTCATTTCTGAATGTCGGATATTTAGCTGTCGTAGAAACTTTGCTTTCGAACACTTGAATTGGCTGCCACGGTATTTGAGCATTTTTATCTTGATATAAAAACGTGAATCGTTCGTGAAAAGGGATGAGATTACACTACTAAAAAACGAATGTCATCTAGTATGTTTTCAAGCTGATCAACAGTTCAAATATTTTACAGAACTGCGAATCTCAGACAGTGAAAACATGAAAAATAAAAAAGACATTTGGCACAGCGCACGCATATCAACGCGCGCTTTTAATTATTTATAAGAAAATGTGACCTCAAGTGTTGTCGCAACTTTGATTCAGATCGATTTGATTGCTATAAACTAAGGACTTGTAAAAACTATAAAAAATTCAAAGTAATAAATAATGTATATATAAATAAAATGAAAAAAGTGAACGAGAAATTTTAGCTCCTTGCCGATGTCAATAGACTAAAATTTTTGTTAAAAACTGATTACATTATTTTCATTGAAAAATGACGTATTTGCAAAAGAAATCGGCCTGTCGATGATTGTATGGGCATCTTATTTGATGAACTTACATATTAGCATTATTATGAGACTTGCGATATCATAAGCATCTTTCTCTATTACGGAGAACATTGTCCTCTTATTTTTTTAACTTTGCAAATATTTAGTCACAGAACCTAATCTTCAAGGAACATACAGTGTAACATTAAAATGCCGAGAAAAGAGATTAGTTTATTCGCGCGTACTCAAATAAAATTAAAAGTTAAAAGTCTTAAAAAATTCTTCATCATATATATATATACTCACTCTTAAATTTTTTGATTTTTTTCAAAATTAAAAGGAATATATAGGTCTTTATGTGGACAAATACGACTACACTTTTAAACATAGGCCTCGGCACGACGGCCTCGTATGTGGTAGAAAAACTGTTGCCAGCTAGTAAGCGTTTTTCTCGACCATACCCAAAAACTACTAGTGATGCCAACGATCATCGCCATGAGATATTTAATCATGAAGACCGCAAATTCGGGCCTGCGACCGAGATCGCGGGTACGTTCACCGATCGGACATGGCAGCGAATAAAGAGATTGCAGACCTGGTCGCGAGCACATCTCCATGTTCCACGTAAGCATCCATTGGTCGAAATACGCCTGCTCGTAGAAAAGACAGGCGATGACGATGAGTGCGGGTACGATGTAGAGTACGGAGAAGATACCGATACGGATCATGAGTTTTTCGAGTTTATCCGTCTTTGTGCCGTCGTGTTTCATCACCGTGCGAATGCGGAAGAGCGAGACGAAGCCTGCCAATAGGAACACGATGCCCAGCAGCAGATAAACACACAACGGTGCCAAAACGAAACCTCGAAGAGCTTCCACGTTCCAAAGACCGACGTAGCAAACCCCGGATAATATATCGCCTGTAAAATAAATTGTAAAAGTACTTAAAAAACGAATATAATTTGTAATGTTATAATTTAATAAAAATAAAAAATGGCAAGAATTTTGTTCCGCTTAACTTTGCTATTAATTAGCTCTGTTATTTTAAGTGCATAATTTGTATATATCACTGGTACATAAAAATTCAGTGTCCTCCGAATATACAATCTTTATGTAAATTTAATTACTTTTTCATAGAAATTACATAAGAAGTTAATTTTCTAGTTATTCACCCTCTACTTTTCCCATCGCCAAGATAGTAACAGTCTTCACGGCCGGCGCAGCCCAGGCAGCCAGATGGAAGTATTGCGAATTAGTTTCAATCGCTTCGTGTCCCCATTTTAATCCTGCCGCCAGAAACCACGTGAGAGTGAGGATAACCCACCAAATGCTCGACGCCATGCCGAAGAAGTAGAGGACCATGAAGAGCACAGTGCACAGTTCATGTTTGGTACCCTGAGTGATCGTGGAGGCCATTCTTATTTGCATGCTCATGGGTGGCGGAAACGGCTCTCTGCAAGCTATGGAATTATCCGCCGCCCAACCGATCACGTAAGCCAATGCGACCATCAGGTAACACACAGACAAGAAAATGATGGGTCTCTCGGGATACCTGTGCAAGAAATTGACAATTAATTTTCAAACAAATTCCAATACCAAACGAAACGATTTGCTGTTTGTAATTTTTCAAGTATTTATAATTTGCAGTGTATTTTTATCATGGTGTGTCTGTGAAAAGAAAGAGTAGTTTTTATATGCTAAATTCAAATTTTAAAAAGTACATATTACATGAGAATTTTGAGATGAAAGAAAAACAGGTAACAAAAATAACTATATTTGCCACATTTACAATGCTACTTGAAATAAATATTTTTGACTTTCAGATTTAGCGTATAAAAATTATAGAAAATTATTCTTTTCTTCCAAATATTAGATTCGTCCAGAGTAATGCAATACTCTCTTTCCAACGTAACAACATTGCACAAATTTATTCTTAATTCTATGATGTATTTAACAAGAAAGAGAGAAACAGTAATAGTAGAACTGAATTTTTCCAGAATCTCACCTAAATCTATCTGTATCGATGAGAAACGTTAGGAACGTGAAGAAACACGACACGGCACAAATAGTAGCCCAAGTGCCAACCCACACTCTTGCAAACCTTCTCTCCCTCTCGGTGAAGAACATGCCATCACACGGCGCTCCACAGTCCGGTTCCACCTTGTCACCAACTTTCAGGGAATATCCTAATCCGTGAGGTACCTTGAATTGGACAGGGCAGACGAAACCAAAGTCTCTGGCACCCAGGGCAAAGCCACCTGCGTACTTCAAGCCATTGTTCCAAGTCGGCTGGAACTCTGCCACTGGCATACGAAGCGGAGGATAAACTGGCACAGGCTCCCGAGGTGTGGTAGTCTCGTTAGTACCTACGCACAGCTCCGTGCCGTCGTTCTCCGGCATCTTGGCACAATCGAGCGCCTCCGGCCAGGCAAATCCAAAGCTGTTCATCATTTTCTCACAACCGGAACGCGCACTTTCACAGAGCGACCGGCACGGTGGTATTGCCCTCTCGATAATTGTGCAGACCGGCGCATAGACAGTGCACAGGAAAAATCGAAGATCAGGACTACATTTCATCTTGATGAGTGGTACGAACTGGTGCACCTCCTGACCGGCATCCTCCTGTTTCTGATGGTTCATCAGGTTCGGCATGATGGTTTCATTGTATGGGATGTCCATGCAGAGATTGATCGTAATGGGCTCGCAACGGCCGTGATGCGCGAGAGGATCACCACTGTGCAAAGCACTGGAAGGGCGCGAGACAGCAGTGACGGTCACCACGCCGACGATCATCACTGACCACAGCATCTTTGGTCTCTTCTGTCTCCACTCTTTGGGGGATGATAAGGTACGCGCACCACTCACTCAAACACTCATGACCAACACAAGGTGTGAAACATTCCGATATTTGTGCACACACAGCGGAAGCGCGATGACAATGATAGTGGTCAAAGTGATATAATGATAATAATAATAATGATGATGGTGATGAGAATGAAGATGATTGAAATGATAGACGCGCTCGTGGAGTTGCGATGTAAACAGTTATGGTGGCTGTGCGAACATCTCCGCAGCGACGCCAGATTTCAGACACAAGCAGCAAGCAGCATGAAAGAGGGAATACCGCGCACATGCGCAAGACGACGTCGTTAACATCGCTCACTTGATTGCGTTCGGGAACTACACTCGGGAGTATCACCAATCACCTAAACGCCGTTCAGAAATCAACTGAGAATACCTTAATGCAGGACCTAATGCAGGATTCACACTGAGTCCGATTTCCGACGTACGATGTTCGATATTCAATAGAAGAATTTGTTTTATATAAAACAATCTTTCTTATTGGACATCGGACGTCGTACGTCGGAAATCGGGCCCAGTGTGAATCCAGCATAAGTGGCCTGTTTAGAAATGTTTCAGGCGCTCTCGACCGATTGTGAGAGACTTTTGCACCCTGCAAAAGAGCATAATACTAACATATATATAAATAATAAATATAAGAACGTCCAAAGACGTCCTAAAAACGTTTTAAAAAAGACGTCGTCTCTCAATTTTTTTAATTGGCATTTTTAATTTTGCAACAAATTTTCCAAAAATTTTTAAATAGATGTTTGATGACGTTTATGTGACGTCATAAATACATTACAGATTTTTATCTTCTTTTCAACTCGTGAGAGACGTTAATACTTTTACATTTTGCATATTATTTTAAATTGGCTATTAACAAGATTTGGTTTTTATTCCGATACATTTCTCTTGCAATAATACTACATTTAAAATATTATTCTTATTTATTTTAACTTTTTTTTCTCGGCGTAATTAATTTCAGAATTGAAACAGGTAAAATAGAGGTAGAAATGAAGAAGCCCATGTTCGATCGGTTGATTTTGATTTTATTTCCTTCCCGACACACATAAATGCACAATACATCCCGTTGGACCTTGTGTGTGCACGATTGTTACAGTTCTCCTTTCTAAAGTACGTATACGTGCACTTTATGCAGCTTTAGACGGGTCGCATTTACGGGCGTTTATATTCGCTGCGCTATGTACAATAATAACTATTTATACGAGCCACAAATTTTCCAAAACCGCTATCTCCAAAATTTGATATGAAATTTGAGCGATAATCGGTTAATAGCCGAGTCTCTCGACTCCAAATCACGTATTCGTAGAATTCCTTCTGTTTTCGATCAGGTCAATTTAATTCAATACAAAAACGCCGTTCTATTTTTCTGAATTAAAAACAAGCGATAAATTTGATGTATAAAGAAACATTTTATTTCGACGTTTGACGTTTCTTAACAAAATAATGGATGTTGGAAATCACGGGCTCGTTCAACAGTTACTTATGGTGATTGAGGAAATTATGCGCGCGAGTCGCCCAAACCACAAATTATGTGTCGTCATATCGTAAACAAATAAATAATTTTTCTCCTCGCATGAATGTACTCGTGTCACTCCAGTCACATTCAGCCTGCAGGAGCTCAGCCTTCTTACGTTCTTACAATTATAGTATTATATAACATTTAAAAGTCATTATGGAAGATTTCAAGTGTTCCGCCACTCTCTCGCACGCCTCCCTGCCTAATTGTGTCAATAAATATTATACAAACAAACATTTAATGTAAAGTAAATTGCGCGAAGAAAGGTTTACAAAAATTAAATTTTAATAATCTCTGGAAATATATTTTGAAATGTTTAAAAATTCAATTTCGACTGTTTTACTTCTCTCGAAGAAGGAATATACTTATTATAAAGTTCAAAAAGGTGTGCAATAGAGAATTTAATTTCTGAACACAGATTAGAAATCACTATTTTATAATAATGTAATATCATGGAAGACGACTGATCAACTATAAAAAGTCTAAAATATTATCGACGAGTCATCGATAAGAGCATTAATCGCTGTGCGATTTATGGGGAAGCACTGCCTTTAAGCTAAAAATTCCTTCTAATTTTTAGGACTGCTATTTAGATAGTAATATCGCGGGACAGTAAATCCTAATTGACTGCAAACTTTATTGGCACAATATCGAATAAATTTCGAGAAAAATCGAACGCAACTGTTTTTTACTATCTTTGCATTTATAAATCCTAAAATAGTATAAAATATTTTATTTGCAGCTATATATAATCTTTTGTTATATTCATTAAATATGCACTCATCTACGGAAATGCGTGCAAGATTTTGTAATGACCCAAGTTTGTAAATATAAAGTAAAGTTCTTCTTTAACAATACCTAAAATCTATATATTTTTTGTTCACTGTGGCGTTAATAACACTAGCCTGCAAAATTAAACACTTTTTTCTGTTGTCTGAGAAAGAAAAATAGTAGTATTTAATAGTAGTATAATTCTTTAGTAGACTGCAACCGAAATTTAATGTTTATAAATTGAATTCTATAGAATTTAATTTATAGAGATATAAGGATAAAGTGAGATCTTTCATAGGGAAGACACGCAACTGCGCAAGTCACACAATGCAATTTCTGTGAAAACTTTTTCAATAAATTTGTATTAAATCGATTGCATTCATTTAAAATTCTTTTCTATTCCTTAATTTTATAAAAAATCAAAATTGTTCTTTACCTGTGAATTAAGAGGGAAGCAAACAGAGGGCGGCGTTCTGTTTTGACAAATTGAAGAATTCAATTTCAATTCAAGTTTAATTGAGAAAGTCATCTGTGTGTGTGAAAGAAAATTGGTAAATTTTGCTGATTCTTGGACCATTTGGAGATGGAGCAAATTTCCGACGGTTTATTGTTTGTTCAAGTCTATAGAATACGAAAATCGACTTTATTATTATTTTTAGGTATGGAAATTTTTATAGTCCGTTGAAACCGTATGGATACACACAAACAATAAACCGTCGTCGCAATTACGATTCGATAAGCAGTAATCGATCGCGTTTCTACGTAAAGGAAGCGCGTGCCTGTATATGTGTGTGTATTTTTTTATCTTGTCTCATTAGCACCAAACTTAAGCTTAAATTGTGTACATCCGTGTTGGTGTGTGAGATTTTTTTAAAAGGCTGTCCCGAATTTATTTAACGGGAGACACCTAATATATAAGTATAATGTTGTGCGGTGTAACGCAATTCTCTAACGTTGCACCGCGTTTGACACGCGCATAAGACAAGATACTAGAGATTAAAATACTTTCAAGACATTCGAAAAAATGGACAGACTTTCTTGGAACATTTCAGCAAGATTAATACACGAGTATAATGCGCCGCGCCGTACCGCCCGGCGGATTGATGCACATTATAATCATACTCATTCGTACATTACGTGCGCTAAATCATAAAACTCCACATACACCCGAAAAGAGCCCAAGTGTTAAAAACGAATAAAAATTAAAGAAAGAACTAGGCTGCAAGGTTAGACATATATCTTTATTTTTTATTGAAAAAGAAGAATAGTTTTAGGTTTCGAAAATCACCTTTTTTGCCATATTTTTCCTTAATTTTTTCAAAACTCTGACATGCGATACGCAATTGCTAAGAATAGAGTCGGATTCAGCGCATAAAATACTACGGGAAACTACTCTTCTTTCCCAAAAACAACAAACCCATGCAAAGCAACATTATCTATGAAGATAAATTCTAAAAGCGTAGAAATATTTATTTTATAATAATTTTGTATATTAAAATAAAGATTACAATACAAATAGTGATTTTAGTTTTCAATGCAATTAAAATAATAAAGAAATTGTTTGAATTTTTGCAAATATCTAATTATAAAATATATAATTATAAAAATTGTTGCCAAAATATACAATATTAGATCTTGATTTTTATACAATTTTAAATCTTTCTTGTCTTGGAGGAAGACTGGATTTTACTTGGATTTTACGATTAAGCGCACGCATAGATATATTCGTCTATCTATCTATCTATCTATCTATCGATCTATCTATCTATCTATCTATCTATCTGTCTATCTATCTATCTATCTATCTCTCTATTGTTTTGCTAACGACACTAATAATCGTGTCAATCTAATTATTCGAATGCAATAACGTGTCCGCATTTTCTGCGTGTTTTCATAGAAATACTTCGCACACTCGATAAATTTCTGCTGTGATTGAGAAAGTGCGTAATTAAATAAACATGATTGAATATCGGTACCCGTATGTCGATCAAATTCCTTTCAATTCTTCATATAACCCTCTATATGCTGTGCATTGTGTCACGCGCAAAATATACAAAATGCACATCATAAAAAAAATTACATAAAGAAATACGTTCAATATATTGCAAATAGAGAAATGCACAAAGAAACATTTTAAAATCGACTTTACTTGCCAATATTAGATAAATTTCTATTAATTTTTTTTGTTTATTTTAATTATTCGATTCAATAAATTAAGTATTTCAAAATAATTAATAACTTTATTATTTTTTATGGAAATATCAAACAGGTATTCTCGCGTAATTCGCTTTGGCATTGTGTGGACACACAGAATTGGCGGAATCAACACGTTATAGAAAAAATTAGTAAAAACAAAAAATCAGTATAGTACGGTCGCACTTGTTGAGCAAACGATCGCAGTGCGCCTGGGAAGATATACATTTGGCACTGGGATTTTCTCTCTTTTTCATAGATATACACACACACGCACACACTTTCTGGAGGAAAGCTCTCGTTTTTCACTTGTTGCACAACGAACTCTCGATTACGCGATTTTGAGCCAAATATAATAAAAATGAGGAATACTAATATCAAGGGGAAAAAATTACAAATTAAAAATCAACGAATCTAAAATTTGTGCTCAAATGTCCATTATTATTCTTAAGAATGTTACTTTGATATCGCTTGTCATTCTTGCTCTAAGCTCAAAAGTCTGCATTAAAATTTATTTATCGAAAACTAGCATTGATCGTGATTAATTTTTTATAGTGTAGATTATTTACTTCTAACTTGGTGTGAATGTTTGTCTCATTCAGTTATTTTGATTTTACTCTTCTGGATAGAGTAACCTATTTTAGTTTTCTCGCTGAAATAATATTAATCTCGTAATTGATCAGAATGATAAATCTAAATTTAAAAATAAAAAAAACAGATAATTATTAATAAAATGATATTTGTGTACAATGCTATTTTGTTTGCATTTGCCGAATAG